CATGTCCCATCTGCTAACATAGAGTTGGTGGGGTTTAGGACCTATACTGCAACCAGCCACCAGAGGGAGATTGGGATGTTTTGTCTTCACTATTGGAGAGCTGTCATGTCGTCCATCTTTATATATGTCGATGTGCAGATTCAGTAGGTTTCACTGTCACTTAGCCTATAGGTGGTGCTGTTACAATGTAATGTAATATAGTAACAGAAGAAAATCCTGAATACAAACGAGGCGTGTGAGATGGTGCAGGAGCAGTGTTTTCTGTGGGAGATAGTAACTCTTTGGTGTGGATTTTTCTCACCTTCTACATAGACAAAAAATCACACTAAAGTACAGGGGAAACCCCCAAATAATGTTATGGCCTTTTCAAAAATATATATGAAGCAGAGCACACACACATGCTCAAACACATATCTCAATTATCCACCTGGGATAAGATAACACAATAAATTGCTGAATGCTAGAATGATATATGATATGTATATGCATAATAACAGAGTGTATAACAACAACAACTAAAAATGCTGTGTGCTGGACACATCAGTGACTGGTTGCTCCTTTGATGATGATGATGGCGTCCTCAGACAAGTGTTTGCTTTGAATGTGTCCAGGTAAAATGATGTGAAGGAAAATTGGAATGTCATTGAACCATAAAAAACATTTTTTGTTTAAGTGCTGATTCTGTGTCGGTATAATGAATGTGCAGTCTTTTCAAAGAAAATCCTTTAGATCAAAAAGTCTGGTCCCAGAGAGTTCAACAAGAAGTGTACAGATGTCACCACCATCCTCAGCCGAATTTCAAACAACGATGATCCTTCATATTGGGAGGAAATCAACAATCTTGCAGAGTGGTGCACAGAAAACAACCTACTGATCAACATCAGCAAAACCAAAGAGCTGATTGCTGATTTTAGAAAAAGAGGCAAAGACACACACCAATTTCCCTCAGTGGAACTGAGGTGGAGCAGGTGAACAGTTTTAGGTTCCTGGGAATTAACGTCACAAAGAACCTGTCATGGTCATCTCACATCTCCACCCTGGTTACTAAACAGTCTCTCCAGGATTCCGCAGGCTTTTTTTGGATTGTTGTGGCCTATAATGCCCTGCAGCCTTTAAAAATAAATTGCTATGCATGGTGCGATATTTGTATATCCATTTTTTTGCAGTGAAATTGTAGTAGACAGTGAAGACTGCAAATGGTGTTTCCCTTTTTTTTGCATATAACAATGATTGGTTGATTTTGCAAAAAAGTGGTGATTGGACAAAAATTACAACGTTGCACTGAATTCACTGGGACTGGTTAAATTTGTGTTGATTGTTGCGACAGTGCAAATTCCTGGAGGGACTGAAGAAAACCCAGAAACAAATTTATTATTTTAAGAGAATTTAAGAAAGCAAAATTTCTGTGCCACTTCTTGGTAACTTTTACAGAGGACACAGGGGGGACTCTGCAGCAGGTGATTAAAACTGCCTAGAAGATCATTGGTACTCAGCATCAGTGATATTGGTGAGGTGAGGTGTCTGTACAGAGCCCAAAGGATACTTAAAGCCAGCACCCAGCCACCCCAGCCTGTTCACCTTGTTGCCAAGAGATACAGAAGTATCCGTTGCTGTACCACCAGACTACAGAGCAGCTTTGTTCCTCAAACAAAACGCCTGGCGTGATGGGTGCCTACTCAAAACTCATGAAAAAGTAAATTTAGTCGTCAGCACTCACAAATAAGTATATAATACTTTTAATTGCACAGCAGTGAAAGCATTTTGCTGAGCATTACTTATGTGCGAGTGCTGATGCCTTTATGTACAGCTTCTTTTCTCAGACTGTGACACTCAACCATAAATATTTTTTTCTTTTGTGTGTAGCATAAAGGGACTACAGCTTGCATTTCATTGTACAACCCTGTGTTGTAGAATGATAAATAAATGAACCTTCAACCTTGTGGGCTGGACTCATCACTCTCAACTGGTTTTGCTCAGGGTTTCCCATGAGCCCCTGTTCTCACCGCTCTGACTACATTTATATTTTTATTTTATTTTCCCATTTCTTTTATTTTCCCTCTTTGTAGGACTACATTTGTACTGTCTCAGTGTGTCTCTGGTTTGAACACAGTAATAGCTGCTAGGTATGAGGTCAAATCATGTGAGCTATATGTCACCAGGGTTGCGAGGCTGGGTATTTGTCAGGGCCAAAATGTAGGAAGTTCATAATAGTCATTACAATACAAACACACTGTTTCATCCCAATCCCAATAAAAATATGCACCACTGCCTCCTCGTGCTTATTGTGTTAACACATTTAACCAAAAAAAAAAAAAAACACCTATTTTTTTCACCTAACGTATTATTTCTTTGCTACGAATAAAACTGTTGGAACAACATTACGTAATTCCTGTTGTTGGATTTTGCTTCTCGTGATTCTCCCACAATCCTCCGCTTCACGGAGCAGCACTTCCGGCATGTGACGTGTCTGCCTGCCGCAGACCGGATGCTGGTGGCGGACTGTCCGGTGTAGATGTCAGATGCAGTGTAAACCGAGAAAAGGGGTCTAGATTTGTATGTGAATCTGATCGAGCAGACTGGCCGGTGTGAACATGCTGCTGTGGCTGCTGGGACCCGCGCTGCTGGCTCGGGCCGCCGGCTTCTACCTCCCGGGTCTGGCTCCCGTCAGCTTCTGTGAGCCGGGGAAAGACCAGGTCCCAGACTGCAAGGTAAACACAACATGACCCACACCAGCTGTGCGGCTACCAGATGTTCTGACAGAACCACTGAATAACGAATGTACAGTAGAGCCAGTGAATACGCAGATAATAAGTGGTTGAATGCGGTAGCTAACGTTAGGTAAGCTACTCCTTCAGGAACAGTTAATGTGAGGCAGCTAACGTTGGCCAAAACAAACAGCAAAGCTAACGGAGCTATGCTAACTGGTTAGCAAGCTAGCTGCATAGCTAAACACCTCAAAGTAACTCCGTTAGTTTGGATATGAAACTAATAACATGTTTAGTTAGAATGTCAAAATTAGACTCTCTGCAGCTGATACTGACACTCATTAAATGTTATTATTATTATTATGTATTGAGAATTCCCACATAACTACCAGAAACAGAACACCACCTCGTTTGTTCACATTGTATTTGTAAAGTTTTAATAGTGGCTATTTGAAAATCTCTGTAAGCTCACTGACACTGCACAGTGCTTACTGTAAAATACTGGCCAGTGTAATATCAACAGTGGTTCCCAACCTGGGGGACGGGACTCCATGTAGGGGTCGCCAAAGCTTAATGTCTATGCAGACATATAATGTAAAGTAAATTGTCTAATAACACTGAGAAGAAAACACTGTATTTGTATGATTGTTAAAAGGAAAATACGTAATACAGACAGAGAATTGCATAAAAGGTTCCCTAAACAGGAAATAATCTGCTCAAACATCATCCAAATCTCTGCTTTTACCCAAACTCCTTACAGTTACCGAGTTCACTGTTTGGGGTCATTGTACAGCTTTGAATATAATTATATCCATACGTTTTTATACAGTTCTCTGTTTGTATTATGTATTCTTTTTATTTTTTACCAGTCATACAGACTTAATTGGCTTCTTTTCTGACAGTGTTTTCTTCTCCCTGACACCTTGCCATTTTTGTATTAGCTCTTTGGTTTTAACTGCAAACTTTTCTATGCACCTCTTAAAATGAAGAAGGCCTCACGGCCCTCGAGAAGCTTTGGTGACCACTGAAAACCACTGTCTTAGATAAGCCTTTATACATGAACATGAATTCTTTATTCATGTTAAGAAATTGAATCACTTTTATTTATGATTTTGAACAGGCTTCAATACTTATGAAATAAGGGTCAGTTCACGCAGAATGAACTTTCCTTACTTCTGAACAGTATCCAGAACATCCTTTCTGTAAAAGACACATTGCTATTGAGATTTGGAAATGTCATAACAACGTCCTTATGACAAGGTGGAAAGAAGAATATCAATCAATCACAAATCTATATTTAACAAGATGAAAACAAAAACTTGATTGGAGCACTCTGTCTCCCTAACATGTCTGTTTGCTTTGTTTTCTTCAAGTCGACCATTGAGCTGTTTGTGAACCGGCTGGATTCAGTGGAGTCTGTGCTGCCTTATGAATACACTGTGTAAGTAGTAGCCCTGTACCAATGTGTCTGTCTGTGTTATCTTGTTGTCAAGTTCAACACTAGAAGGATGTTTTCACATTCATCTGCTGAAAGTGGAAAGTTTCTCTGTGCTCATTGAAAATCTGATTTTAAGGGGCGGGTCTATGAGCAGGGATTTGTGACATCAACAAATAGTTAGGAAGTCAGTCCTGTCCAGTATCAACTTGTACAGTGTGATGTAATTAAACTTGAAGCCACCAGTGCACATCCACTGGAATGGACTTTACAGTGAAGTAGAGACATCTCTGTGTCCAGCAGGAAAAACTTTAGAAATGAACAAATTTACATATTCAGAGACTCTGGAAGATTTAATGGAGGTAGAGGGAGGATATTACTTTTTAAGCATTTTAATGTGGAAATTAGACTTTTTTTAAATTGAAAAATGGGGAGGGGGTTTGTTTTCTTACATCTGGAGATTTTTGGAGCAGGGTATCCCTGTAGCACTGCACTGCTTTATTATAATGCTGTTTGTCACACATTTTACCTTTATCAAAAATTGCAGCTTCTGAGGTTTGGATATTACACATGGCCATATTGCGATTTTGATAACATTTTGATGAATTGTGCAGCCCTAGAACTGTTTAAGAAACAACCCATGGACAACAGTGCAGCAGCAGTTGTGTTATTTCATTAAAGTGGTGTCTAATTTCAGTCATAATTCAGGGAGTTTCATCAGTGTATATGTACTTACCTGGAACATGCACAACATGATATCCAACTGCTGGCATGAGTCACAGGCCATAAAGAGTTGTTTAACCCTAGGCCCAGACAGCAAGTTACTCAATGCAGTGTGTGATGGGAAATAAAGAGGTTGTGCAGTTGAATGTATTCTGCCTCCAACACTTTGAACAGTCGCATCCTTTTTGTGCAGGTTTGACTTCTGCTCCGAGAACACAATGAAACGTCCATCAGAGAATCTGGGCCAGGTTCTTTTTGGAGAGAGGATCGAACCCTCGCCATACAAGGTACCACACATCCACAGCAGCAGACGCTCAAACACACACATTAACAGCAACAAACATGGGAACACTGACTCAGTCATATGCTGTGGAGGTGAATTGTCTGCACAGGGTTCTGTTGGAATGAATGAAGGGCTTTCAGTGGCTTTACATAAACAAAATACATACAGAGGGCAGTTGTTTGCATATGCAATCTTATATGTAGGCCAGGTGCAGAAAGTAGATTCAATAAAGGAGAAAGCAGAGTATCCATGCACTGCATTATAGCTCTTTAACTAAAAGGTTTTTACGCTCACTTGAGGTGCCTTTTCGAAAAAAGAGTTAATGCTCTTAATAGGAGATGAAAACACTCATAACAAATCACATGACTGGTCAGCTGTTTCCTCGTCACTTGTGTAGCCGAGGTCGCTCCACACAGACCTTGCTTCTTCTAAAATTCCAGAAACTAAAAAATCACCACAAATTACACCCAGATAAGGTTTATTATATTTAAAATATGTGATAAGGGGGTTATCCAGTATAATATGCTGGAACTGTACAAGATTCAGTACTTATTCATTAATTAGTAATACTACTATTTCACTGACTAGAAAATGCTTTTAGAGGTTGTTCGAAAATCCCCATGTCATGTTTGCGTGATGAAGACTCTGTTGGGAGGAAATGCAAATTAAGTTTGCAAGCTATAATTCAGTGTGTGCACACACTCTCTGCTTTCCTTTACATGCACATAATAACAATAGTAGCTTCATAAATGATGAACCAGTGGAAGAGACGGAACAAAGCCTCTTCAGAGTGAAACATCTTTGGTATGCGTTCAGCAGTTGGTTCACAGCTGTGTGTGTGTCACATGCTGTCAAAATGCTGTTTGATGAAGTTGTTTACAGGCTAAGATGCCACTGAATAAATAGATTAAACTGGAGTATACTTGACTGTCATTACACTGGGATCATATTAACAAGCAGAGTACGATGTTTCCCTTTATGATTAGATTATTTTTAGGCAAAGAAAAAACTGTTAATATGACAAACCAAATTCGTGTAATGTGTCATTATTGTAGCACATTATGTCATTCTAAGGGATCTAAATTCTTAAATCTTCTTTCTTTACACACTATTGTACATTTAGAAAATAATGTTTGACTTTCCTTGATCGTGGGAGTTGCCTTGCGTGCGTTTTGTGTGAGACAGACATCATGAAAGTGTCTGACAGTGTGATGCAGAAAGCAATGTATTTGTTTTTTTTAACTAAATGAGTCATGATTGTGCATGTATAAGCTGATTAGAGGCTACGAGCTTTGGCAGTGAGCAGGAGTTCAGTCATTTTTCTTAAACTAAATCTGTAAATGGGGGTAAGTATGTTAATCCCACAGGTTCTGTGCAGCCTCAGCAACATTAAACATTTAAATGCGTAGCTGTCTCAGATTGTGTTTGGACATACTACTACAGGCAGAAACTGACTGCAATAGTGTGGGAAACATTTTTTTTGAATTTGATAGTTTGGCTAAAAGTTCATTCCTGATTCCAGTCTCTGTGCTAAGCTAGGCTCAACACCTCTCTCACCTTTTTAGTTGACTGTGTTTGATGTCAAACATGTTGTAGGTTCCTTAATGGGGATGATGTTTATCATTGCACATGTATTAAGACTAATCGACTGACTGTGTGTCCTGTGTGTCAGTTTGAGTTTAAGAAAACCGCGGTGTGTCAGCCGGTGTGTACCAAAGTCTATGACAACAGCAAGCCATCAGACAAAGCCAAACTGGACTTCCTCAAGAAAGGCATGTTACTCAACTACCAGCACCACTGGTACGTATGATCCACTGACATACACATACCAGAAAGGGATACACATCAAAAACACCTTAAAGGGACGATTCACCCCATCTGCAGTGCTATTAATCCAATGTTTTGGTGTGAGCTGCCTCAGCATCCCCATGGTCTATCTAATCATGGTTTCTAATATATTAATTGCTAAAAACTGGAGCTGTGCGATATGAACATATATAGTATATCGTGTGATGATAGAAAAACGTCTATAACTCAACTGTTATAACTGTGAACTGTGAGTGAAAAATCTGGCAGGGGGCAGAAGAGAAATGTGATAGCTGACCAACTACATGTAAACTTGGCATTTAGAGTTGTTATTTTGGATAATCTGACTATTTTAATTCAGTATTTATGACCGTCACTGGCTTTTCTTTTGTGTGTGTGTGTAGGATTGTGGATAACATGCCAGTCACCTGGTGCTATGATGTTGAAGATGGACAGAAGTTCTGTAATCCTGGTTTCCCTATTGGCTGTTACGTCACAGAAGCAGGCCGACCCAAAGATGCCTGCGTGGTCAACGTGAGTCAGTGTTACACATGGACACAAACAAAGCCTTCTTTAACGTAGATTTGTGTATGAGCACCTCCACCTACACATAATACGTCCTGTTTCTTTATATAAGCATGATCAGTCCTATCAGTGAGGTATAGCATTTATGAGCCTGGTTTAGCCTTTGTGAAACATATTATGCCAGGATGATGCTCTGACCTGGCTAGGTCAAGTCTCTCTTTTTCACTTATCTTGGATTTCTTAATTCTGCTTTTGTGAAACAGCAAGTGTCTGCGGGTCATATTTGTTAGGAGGTGAAATAGAGGGTCAGCGGCACATATCACTCTCTGCCACAGTGTCTGTTTTAATGGAAGTTAGAATGGTTCAATTCTCCACATAACTGTAACAGGACTAACCATACATATTTTAGAGGGAGAAACACTGACTGATTACTGATCTGTCACCGTTGCCACAGTATTGTAAATCACAGCGCACTCTGCTGGAGAAACTTTGTAGTGACTCCAATATATTACCACAAGCAATTTTTCTGCATTTATAGCAGAAAAAGACAGTTTTCATGTCGGAGCATATTGGATGACATATATACAGATAGTGATACAATACAGATATGTCTGCGATAGACCAATACCGTCCGATTGATATATCGTTCGGGCTGTAGTAATAACACATTATTACCTGTCTGTTAGAGCTCTATATTGGCAATACGTATCATATCAGGATTATGATTCAATATATTGTGATATATTGTGATGCTGTACGCAAGGTCATATATTGAGATTTTAAAGTATAATTTTAGGAAACCTGTCATAGTATAAAGAACACACCACCTGCCATATGCATAAAATCTGAGTAAAACACAAAAATATATCGTGTTTTTATGAATGGATACAATATCACAGAACTATGCTTTGAACTTTTGTGTCTTGGTTTTGTTTTCCAGTCTAACTTTAATGAAAAGGATGCTTTTTACATCTTTAACCACGTGGACATCACCATCCATTACCACATTGTTGAGCACGAACAACTTGGAGCACGACTGGTTGCTGCCAAGATTGAACCCAAAAGGTAATCAATATGGAGCCATCTAGTCCAAATGTAGATGCCAGTTGTTTTAGCTTAGCATGTTGTTTAAGGTACTTTCAAATTTGGGCCGCAGAACTTTTTGTGGAGGCTAAAAGATCGCAGGTTAGACCTGTTATGAAAACTGCCTGTTACATTCATTAGCGGTCTTGTGGATTTTGGCTGCATTATAATCAGATCTTAGTATGCAAATTAGATATTGGTGGACATTGATCTGAAATCTATTACCTATGTCTCTTCTTCCTCGGTCCAGCTATGAAAATAAAAATGATGACAAGCCTGATTGTTCTGGAGGGCCAAAGTTCCTAAAAAGCAAAGACACAGGAGTGTTCAAGATCCCATACACTTACTCCATCAGCTTTGTGGTTAGTACAATAGTATCATCTTGGTGAGTTTAATGCTGCATGTTTATGTGGCTCAAAAGATGGACTGATGTGAAAATTAAAAAAAAAAAAATCCAGTCATAGAAACACCTGGAAATTGATTAAAGCAGCCATCTGCTTTATTATGCATAATTAACTTTAATAGAATTAAACAGGTGAGTGTTTGTGTGTTTGCAGGAAGACAAGAATATTCGCTGGGCGTCTAGATGGGACTACATCCTGGAGTCAATGCCTCACACCAACATCCAGTGGTTCAGGTACAGTTAGACTCAAACACACACTGACTTACAGTGATCGGACAAGGGATGAGTGAGTCCACCATAATCTGTATCTGTAACTAAGTAAATGATCTGTATTTTATCTGTACTCGGAATGGGCGGGGTTTAAACCAGACTTGGGCGGTGCTTGAACCATAGGTGGACGGGACTAATCAGAAGTTAAGTTAAAGCTGCAGTAAGTAATTTTTATAAAACAGTCATAAATGCTGAAATTTCCATTGTGTTCTGACAGTAGTACAAAAGAAATCAGGTTCCTCTGAGTCGTTCTAGTGCTCCTAATAACATTTGCAAGAATCCACTGGGCCTGAACAAAAACAACCAATCAGAGCTGAGGAACATATAAAGGCACTTTAGGTTGGAGGATTAAAGATAGTTGATTGTTCAGTCTCATACAGAGTCCTAAAGTATCTGTATTTGACGCCCTGGGAATGAGACTCAACAATCAGCTATCTTCCTCAGCTCTGATTGGTTGCTTTCGTTCAGGACCGGTATTTATAAAAATAATCTACTGCAGCTTTAAGCCTGAAGTTGATCAGAAGTTTTAGCCAGCATTCAGGAATTATCTGCATAGTGATGTGTGGAAGTTCAACAACAACCAAAAGTTGCTGACACAAATTGAAGTGGTAATCAGATTACAAGTCAAGGTTAGAGAGCATGCTGGGACATATTTTTAACTGCTGACCCAGGTTTTAAGAGAAAGCAAGCATCTGTAATAGGATGTTGTACATCTACTCCTGAGGCTTGGATCTTTCTGTCCAGCACTGACCACGACGGCACAGTTTCACAGTCCTACTGTCTCACAGGAATCCTGTTTTATTGGGGGGTCTTATAGTGACTGCAGACTTGAGGTTTAAAAATGCCAAACATTAATTAACCCTGGTGTCTATCAGTTGACCTGTCTCCATGCACTGAGACAATCCACATCCAAGCACTGATACAGCATTAATTAATGTGTAAGTTATGAGCAATGAGTAATGGTTATACAGCAGTGACTATTGTGGCTTTCCTGTTTATTCTCCCCAGCATAATGAACTCGTTGGTGATTGTGTTGTTCCTGTCTGGAATGGTAGCCATGATCATGCTGCGGACACTGCACAAAGACATCGCCAGATACAATCAGATGGACTCTGTGGTAAGTACTGGCTCTGGGGCTGATGGGAACACGTTTGAGCTGAGATGGAGCTTCGGTCAGAACACCACCAATACTTCTTTCATAGTCACAGAATCAGAATCAGAATCGGGTTTATTGCAAAGTAAGTTTTTACACGTACAAGGAATTTGCCTTGGTTGGTGCGTAAAAATCACACAAAAATAAAGGACTATATAATATACTATATATAGTGCTAATATAATTAAATAAAGATCAAGAGATCTATCTAAAGATTCTGTATAGGAAAGATATTTACAATGTGCAGTGA